CGTTTCTGCGGCGTTCCGACGGCGGCCCGTGGCCGTGCGCGCTCCGACGACCACCCACAGCCCCGATCTGTGGCCTTTGCTTCCCCTCGACGACTTTAGACGCTTACCCACACCTGTCTGGAGTTCGATTCGCGATACCCACCCCTATTTAGACTCAAGCCAGCATTACCCATCGCTTTTGACATCAGAACAACAAGCATAATGACATTCGAACTCAGTTTTGGATGCCCGAACCTCCTCGGCGTCGATCCACTCCTCACCCAAGAAGTTTTATGGTGAGATAGTAGGTAACGGATCATCTAAACTCACTTTYGATGCAAACTAAGTGTTTCTAACATGAATTCTAATCAAGTTTGGTTTGCTTTTGGATTTAGGAACCCTTTGGTGAACTTGCTAGTGCATTAGAACTTTGTTGTAAGTAGTTTCTTACTGGAGGGATTGGTTGTTGTGTGCTTATATGATATGGTTATTTGCTCGTGTGCCCATGTGTGATACTTGCATGTCGMTTGTCGTTGTTATCATTTAGTAAACGTCATTGTTGATAAAACTGTTGATATATCTTGGGAAAAGTATGTGGTTGTGTGAATAAATTGTAGCCAGGTAATCCTGGATGACTATGATTGAATTGCTATTATGTTCTAATTGGTTTTCATGATGAAATTTGTATACTGGTACTATAATCTRTTGTTTTGAAAGCGTATTGAATATTTATGAGAAATCGGTTGTGTTTGATGTATGCTGGGTATTTATCAATTATATTTTGGTTAAGTGGTTGATTGTGCTTTTTCTGTAAACGATGCCTGCTGGAGATGTTGGATCATGTTAGACTATTTTAGATTGATTGGCTTTTACATATGATCATTTTGGTGTATCGCATATTGGACTGTTATGCGATTGTTGATGCATGAGGCATGGCGTAGTAGCAAGTAGGACTCTTATGAGAATTTTGGGACATAACAAAGTAAGTAGCACAGGGGCGGGTGTGTGCGTTGATGTGTGTTAATAGAAATTGTTCTTGCTGATTTTACATTATAAACATGTTTCTCTTATTATTTTAATTGTTGGATAGGTTTGTGAGGTCGATGCTGTTATTGTAACTTACGGTTATTTTATATATTGGATATGTATATGACTGGTATTCATGTTTGTTTTCTGCAACTTTAGGAACTTAYTGATATTGTATGGTTGGTTGGAAGTGATTAGGATTTGTTATGTTGTGAAAAGCATGTTATGTGAAGAATGTTATAGGGTTGTTTGTTGAAGCTTTGTGTGCGCTATGTTGTGAGCAGGTTGGTTGTTGTCAAACTTTGTGTTATTGAGACCCGTGATGCATTGAAATCTTACTAGTGGTTCTGTTGTTGTTGGGCTTTGTGGTGGTTGGTGTTATTAGGGAAGTAGTATTGAAATCCYGGTTGGAGGCTAGAAATGATATGTGGAGTTATGAAACTTACGAAGTGAATGGGTGAGTGTCAGGGCCTCGGGTATAAATGGTCGAGGGCTGATACGTCACTAATTGGGTATCGAGGCCTCGGGTATAAATGGTCGGGGGTCGATACGCCAATATTGGATAAAGATGAGCG